TCCCTACCAGATCCCCTCAAAACCCCTCCGGAAATCCCCCCAAAATTTCCCCTAAAATCCCCCTTGATCCCCCTAAAATCCCTCCAGAAATCCCCCCAAAATTGCCCCCAAAATCCCATGGTATCCCCTCAAAACCCCTCCAGAAATCGCCCCCAAAATCCCCTCCAGAATCCCCCAGAATTTCCCCCACAAATCCCCCCCAGGTGCTTCTGGTGTTTGGAGGCTCCCCGGTTTATTTGGGGTCCCCATGGGCTGATTTTGGGCTCCCCATGGGCTGATTTTGGGGTCCCCAGGTGGATTTTGGGGTCCCCAGGTGGACTTCAGGGTCCCTAGGTGGATTTTGGGCTCCCCATGGGCTGATTTTGGGGTCCCCAGGTGGATTTTGGGGTCTCAATGGGCTGACTTTATGGTCCCCAGGTGGATTTTGGGCTCCCCATGGGCTGATTTTGGAGTCCCCAGGTGGATTTTGGAGTCCCCAGGTGGATTTTGGGGTGCCCAGGTGGATTTTGGGGTCCCAATGGGCTGATTTTGGGGTCCCCAGGTGGATTTTGGGGTCCCCAGGTGGATTTTGGGGTGCCCAGGTGGATTTTGGGGTCTCAATGGGCTGACTTTATGGTCCCCAGGTGGATTTTAGGGTCTCCAGGTGGATTTTGGGCTTCCCATGGGCTGATTTTGGGGTCCCCAGGTAAAATTTGGGGTCTCAATGGGCTGACTTTATGGTCCCCAGGTGGATTTTAGGTTCCCCAGGTGGATTTTGGGGTCCCCAGGTGGATTTTGGGGTCCCAATGGGCTGACTTTATGGTCCCCAGGTGGATTTTAGGGTCTCCAGGTGGATTTTGGGCTTCCCATGGGCTGATTTTGGGGTCCCCAGGTGGATTTTGGGGTCCCAATGGGCTGATTTTGGAGTCCCCAGGTGGATTTTGGAGTCCCCAGGTGGATTTTGGGGTGCCCAGGTGGATTTTGGGGTTCCCGAGTGCTGATTTTAGGCTCTCCCCAGGTGGGGCTGTGTCCGTCCAGGTGCATTGGGAACCCCCAGGTGAGGTTTAGGATCCCGGGCTGCTGAGGTTGGGTTCCTCCAGGAAGATTTTGGGGGTCCTGCGTGGATTTTGACCCCGACGTGTGCTGAGTTTGGGTCCTCCCAGGTGGATTTGGGACCCCCAAGGTGGATTTGGGACCCCCCCAGGTGAGTTTGGGACCCCCCAGGTGATTTTGGGTCCCCCCAGGTGGATTTGGGACCCCCAAGGTGATTTTGGGACCCCCCGAGGTGATTTTGGGACCCTCCGAGGTGAGTTTGGGATCCCTCAGGTGGATTTGGGACCCCCAAGGTGATTTTGGGACCCCCCGAGGTGATTTTGGGACCCTCCGAGGTGAGTTTGGGTCCCCCCAGGTGGATTTGGGACCCCCCAGGTAGATTTGGGACCCCCCCCAGGTGATTTTGGGTCCCCCCAGGTGGATTTGGGACCCCCCAGGTGGATTTGGGACCCCCCCAGGTGATTTTGGGACCCCCCCAGGTGGATTTGGGACCCCCCCAGGTGATTTTGGGTCCCCCCAGGTGGATTTGGGACCCCCCGATGGCTTTTGGGGTCCCCGGGTGCTGATTTCGGGGTCCCCAGGGGGGTCGGGAGGGTGGATCAGGGATGTCCCCACAGATCACCTGGATGACGTCACCAGGTTCCCTTCAATGACGTCACCGGGTTACCTCCGATGACGTCACTGGAGTCCCTCCGATGACGTCACTGACCCCCTCATGGGACCTCACCTGCTCCCAGGTGCCCCCCCCGCCCTCGGGAGCGCCCCGGAAGCTCTGACGTCACCCCACGACGCCATTCTCACGTACGACGTCATCGCCCCGATGACGTCATCGTTCAGGCCCCGCCCCTTTGCCACCCCCGGTTCCGCCACGCTCAAGATGGCGGCGGGGGCGGGGCCTGGGCGGGACCTCCCGGGTGGAGGAGGCGGGGCTGGGAGGGACT